CCCATATGGTAATTAAAATCCAATATGGGTAATAAATCATGTGGCAATCCATTTGAGTGATATCTTCTGCTTTCTTGATACCGATAGTTCTGTATCAATATATTATCTTTCTTGTTTTAAACTTTGTCATCTATTAGCGTGAAATCCCTCTACAAACAGAACCTCTTAGTAGCCTTATATGGGATTCAAAGACCTTGTCCACATATACCTCTGACTGGTTACACAAACTCCACCAGAGTCATATACGGATAGGTGTGACCGTTATGATACATGTCTAAAATCACGGTTCAAGCTATATCTGGACTCATCAATAAAGAATACAAGTTTTCTTTACTGTTGGCTTTGTTGAACAGGACGACGTTATCATCTTAAACTGGTAGATGAAGTTAGCGAGGCATAAGCCACTATGTTTCTTGTATAAAGACCAACGTCATGAACTTTGAAGCACTAGAAAGGCTGACATGAGTTCCTGTATCAACCTGTAGGTCTAAAACCAGTTCTACTGTAGTTGTTTCGCGGTTTCTTCACGGTAGGTGTTTCACGGTCACCCTCTCAGCGTTAAGGCCGGAAAATTCCGTACAGAAGTTTGCCTTCCACATTCATCATACATGAAAATTTCTGCTAGCTTTTAATGTATCTGATTTCAGTTTGGATGTATATTGGAAGAAAAGGAATCAAGGTACAAAATGAAAGAGTCATGTTTTAATTAAAATCAAGAAAATATCGCTTATTCATGACATTTTGAGGAACTTTGAAAGTTCAGGGCTAAACCCGTAACGCTCACAGGGATAATTTAAATTTATGATAAATTATATCAATTAGGTTTATTATTAAAATTAAAATATAAATTATTAATAAGTAAGTTTAATAAGTAAGTTTATTGCATTTAAATTGCTCAGTTTGTTAAGAACTTACAGCTGAAATTCGACAGAAAAAAAAAAAATAAAAAATAAAAACTCATGGAAAGATAAATAACACTATGCTGAGAACTGCTTATTTGTCTGATCGCATGAAACATGTATTAAATATCTTTTATCGACGCATTTGCTGTAAGTGCTATAGAAAATGCGCTTACCATAAAATGTGTTTAGTAATTTTTCTTAAGAATGACTAATACGTAGTAGTGTAATGTAGAGCGGCATGCCATAACAGCCTAAATATTTTAAATTACGGAGCTAAATAATTTTCTAATATTTAGTGCGGATATAGCAGACTGTAACAGATTATTTTTCTTTAAAATTACATATACAATCATTAGCCAAAGCATAATGATATTCACCTTACGACCGTTTAGTCTCCTTTTTGGTACTCTTAACAGCAGCAACATATCGGGGCATCTACTTAATAAAATCTCTTGGCAAATCCCCTCAGAAAGATTGTTATCGATTTGCATGAAGAGATCTTGCAATTCTGATATATCACAATAAGAAGCTTGGTGAGCTCTGATTTGGCGATTCGTGAAATCCCAGACCTATTCGATATGACTAAGGTTCAGAAAGTTATGAGGTTAGGATATCAACTGAAATTCATTCGTATGCTCCTCAAATCACTGTAGCTGTATTCGGCTTAGTAACAAGGAGCATTTTCCTGTTGAAAGAACTCATTCCTTGTGTGACAGACAAAAGCCGTGAAAGGATGAAATTGATTTTTCTCCGTCTGAAGTTGTCATGGTATGTTCCACAACAATAAATGCTACCAGAAACGTCCTCGAGAATGTCCGCAACATAATATATACCATTGGCTTATATGCACCTCACGGTACATATGTTGTATAATTATGAGTTCCCAAATTCTGTTCAACTGTGTATTTTGAGACACTTGAACATCCACTGTGTTCGGTTATCAGGTGAGGTACCGCATATTTGCCTTTACCATGCCTGGTAGTCTCCAGTGTCCGCATTCGATGATCAAGCTGGATAACAGCCTCATCGTTTCAATGTTTCACCGCCCTTCTTCCATGATTCATAGGAACTAGAAAAAAAAGCAATTTGACATCACCCGACAAAGGAAGCCGTTTCAGAGATACTCGTTCCTTAGCCTATATACCATCATAATCTGACTTTAATAGCAAGCATCCTTCCTTATTACACGCACGCACAAATAAAAAAGATCCGCAGTAGCAAATTTCCATCTTACCATCTACGTCATTCTGGTGAGTAACTTTTCGCAGTGTAAGGGGATCATAAAGTTTGACTGAGCATTATATGTTAGTCTGATCCAGAGGAACTCCCCCATGCTAATGGCTTTTTTCTTTTTTTTAACTTCGTTACGCAGCCATTTTATGGTCAGGCATTCACCCAAAAAAAGATGTTATATTTAAGTTCTTCTGCCATCTCATCAACGAGAATGTTGTCACGGGGATTAGAAAAATATTTGCCACCACAGAGAAGAGGAGACATTACAAATTCCCTTACTTTTATCTGGGATTGAACACATCACCAATTAACACACTAACCGCAGAGCCCTAATGATGATGCTGGCATTCGTGTAATTACACTTGCACTTTATCAAATAATTCTATAATTTAGTACTTTACATTTCTATTTTTCATTTGATACGAAATGTATGAAAATTAAATTTCCTAAAAAGCATTTTTAACTCTGAATTTCTGTCTTTTCAAGCTTGAATCTCTCATAATATGTTTACATTTGTAATCATCACTAAAAACGAATATAGCCATATGGTGATAATTGGGATAAATATTATTTTTTATTTCTTTTAATAACTTTTTTTGGATTTTGCAAACAATCTAGAAAATTGGAAATAAAATCTCTAGTTGGAGGGAGCATTTGGAGTTATATCAGCTTAAAAAGGAAATCTCTGCCTGACAGCTCTTTCAAGGTAAAAAACAAAGTCAGCAATAAAATACGAAACAAAGGATAAAGAACATACTGATACTCATTTTATCTGGCTGTCCTCTTACATTTTCGAATCGCAGTGATACAAAAATATTCGTTTAGTTTCTTGACGTCTTTATCGCTGTTTTCCACATACTACTATTTCATTCTTCACTGAATGTGGAGCAGAGAAGAATCCAAATAATTTTTTTTTGAATTGTATTTAATTCAGAAACAATCTCAAATTTTCTTTACTAGGACATACCATTGATATACAGTGAAGCACAGCTTATATGTCCTTCAAGCGGCAGCTCAGAAACGACATAGATATGAGAAAATTGTATGATTGAAATTTCACTTAATAATGTGATACAGGCATTTTAGCTGCATAATTTTAGTACTGATACTATAATTTTATTCCAGCCCTGCTTTTATATAAATTTTATTTGCGATCCGTTTCATTTTTTTTAAATACTCTCCATATTTTAAAAACTTTAAAATATTTCATTTATGAAATCATAAACTGTATAATAGTTGAGATAAAAAATTAAAATAGCTTACGAATGAAAACTTTATTTCACTTGCTGATCTTGATTAACTAATACAGTTTTAAAAGAATTTTAGCAAATGTTCAGTCTTTAATTTTTGCTAAAGAAAGAAGTATCAAGTGTCATCTGATGTACGATTACTTATTTTTGAGCTTTATGCAAAGAACTAAGAAAGCAATAAGCAAAAATCAATCTACTTAGGCCATGATTATTACATGACGCAAGTATGAAGTATCTCCCGTTAGAAAATGCGGATGTCAAACCTTAATGTGCATTTTTTCCAGGAGGTGAACTTTCTCTCAGTCATTGACAGGATTTGATTCATTTCCAATCTAAGCTACCACACGTCTTTCTCACCCAAGTATCCCAACGTATAGTTCCCAAATATTACCGAAAGATGACTTTTGGAGAAATGCTTTCAATGTGAAAATTGAAAAATTCAAAAGTTGATTTAATAATTCAGGGAAAACACTGCCTATAATCAATGTTATTTGCTCTATGAAAGAAATATTTTACTATTAACCTCAATATAAATGAATTGGGACAGAGATGAAATAACATATAAAAGATATATAAATAAAGAAAAATTTGAATGGCATTTCGCTGCAATATACATGGTGTCCCGTAAATGTTGGGACAAACTTCTAAGGAATCATAGCAGAGGTAGAAGATAGGAAAGGAAACAAGAGAGTAATTAGTTTTAAACATTTCCTGGACATGAATACAAATGGCGTACGACAACTTGAATGATACAACAGACGCTCGAAGTCTGCACCATCAGACGCCAAACATGCCTGACCCCTACGGACCATTGATTGCCGAACATGTTCAAGCACATCGAGAGTTTCGTTGATTGTAGCAGCTGCGCAGGCGATTCTTGCCACGAGATTCATTTCAGACACAACAGGATTGTGATACAAGACACTTTTGATGGCGCCCCACAAAAAGAAATCAAGGCTCAATAAATCAGCTGAGCGTGAGGGCTAGGGAGCCGGTCCACCAGGCGCAATCCATCGATGCGGGAATGATCTGTTCAAATGGCAACAAACATCCAGTCCAAAATGAGTCGGGGCTCCATCATGTTGGAACCACATGTTCACAAGCTCTTCGTTCGTATAGCGTTCCATGGTCTTCATATAGTGCCTACCGCTCGAATGAGGCATTCCTCACTTTCCACTAACACTCTTCTGTACAACATCCTCTGGCGGCGTACACTGACATTTCTGGACAGGGATTCCTTTGCAATTATTAATCCTTATGTTGTGCTCTACCTCCCCCAGAAGATTGTCGCAACATTTACGGGATACCCTGTATAATACAATTATATTGACAAGATACTGCTTGTCCAGTTAAATTTGTGACCGTTTATTAGTTAATTGCTTTGAACTGTTTAAATAAATTGTTATTACAGATTAGTTAAAATGAAAAGTTGAAGTAGTGCATGAGAAAATCATAATAAAACCTAACGTAGTCGAAAGATTAAAAGATCGTTTAAAAAAGCGAAGCAGTAAGCAGTTTTTAATTCATATACTCATTCTGAACTGTGCATATATGTATTTATACACTTAATAAATTTTCAAGGTATGAATATTTAAACATTTATCTTTCTTTCTAGTTACAAGTACATCAATGTCATTTGGTTCTGCTGCCATTGGCTAGCCATGAGCAATTCCTGCTATAATCCTTTCATCTACGCTATTTATAACGTAAGTAATAGTAAATATATCTCATTTTCAATTATAATTATTTTCCTACCATTTCAAGCATTTTTGGCCTAATAAATAAACAATGATATGGAACAAATTCATAACTTTGCTGGTATTTTATAAAATGTTCTACTTGTTACATAAACACATTTTTAGCAAATTACATGCGATGACAGTAACTTAAATTATGACGACTGAATCAATAACTCATTGGCTGTAAATAAGATCAGTCAGTAAATTACACATGTTTGTAAATTAAAAAGCGGTGATGACTCACCAAATTATTCAATGATGTGTTGTCGTTGTTTATGTGTAGATAGTATTCGTAAAGATCTATATGAGTTTATTTTCTTAAATTCTATTAATTAATACCAGTCTATGTGTTTCTTTGAATGAAAAATCTGAAATGTAGAATGAAGAAAGTGAATGTGAGATACAGAATGTAGAATGTAAAATGTCGAAAGTGAAATGTAGAGTTTTACTAAACACTCTCAATACGGTGATTACGGAAGGCAATGTAAAAGTATTTTTTATAAGTTTATAATAAATTACATACGGAATTAAATAAAAATTCAGTGTTGTAAGGTAGTCTTTACATTTTTTTAAGTAAAATCAAAACGCTTCAAGCATTTACGCAAAACATGCGAGAACGATTTATTGATTTATAATGTTTTCCCACTCCTATTTATAATTTAAATTTATGACTTAATTTATAATTAATAAACGAAAAATTTAAGAATTGGATGCAAGATAACTGTAGCTTGGCTTGGAATTTAATAATCCCGTCTTCGATGAAACAACAACCTTGATTAAATTCATAATAAGCTATTTTAATTTGTATTGAAAGGGAAACATTTATTAAGTACGTCTATTAACGCTTTTTCTCAGTCTCTTGAGCTGAAACAACGGAGATTTTTTTATGCTTTTCTTGCATTCGCTTGAATATTTGAATACATATTTTTTTAATGTTTTCTAGTAAGCTTTTCCCTACGAATATATTTATAATTTTTTTACATACACACATTTCGGAGAAATAAATTTTAACAATAGAGAGTTACCGCAGAAATTTTAAATTGTAATGTAGAATAAGATGAAATATTATGCTTTTGTTGATAATTAATTACTAAAGTAAAAATTTCAGTGTTAGCTTAACATTCCCTAGTAAAGATGAGTGTTACTTCAATTAATATGTTATGCATTATAACTCCTGATAGATACTCTTGTATGTAGAGTTATTAAAATGGGGTTTATCATCATAAATAAAGAATACTTTACAATTTGTGTTAAACACCTTTGAATGATGTTATTTCTGATTGCATTATAACAACCATAATAACTAAATTTTGGTTACTGTTTTAATAGTTTCAGAATGCTATTTTATGAAATCTGATGCATCCGCAATAAAATTAAACAGGCTTAACATGGCCAAGAATGGGAAAATTAGATTCCTGTTTGCTGGAAGCTGTTTAATAATAATGAAGATACGAAAGGAAGTCTCTGGATCAGAAGCAGGAACCAGATTTTCTATCGCAGATAATAGTTTTAAACTTTTCTTTCACAAAGCAGGCTCCTATGGAAATTCTTTATTTTTCAGATAGGTAACGTTCGGTCAGATTCTGGTTCTTGCATTGTAGCTGTTGAAGCCACGTTTATGGTTAGATATTTCACTGCACATTCCGGATTAACTTTACATTCCGAATTAGGGCTAAATTTCAACTGAAGAAAAAGGGAAGACAAAAGGCCTAATTAACTACATTTTTTGAGCAATAATGTTTCGGAATATTTTGAATCGCTCCACTCTTTTTACGTTTGTTTCACATATAATTTTGACCTTAAAACAGTTTCTTTATATCCGAAATCCCCGTCTGTTCTAAATCTAGAACCAGTGTTATGCATGCATTCTCAGATAATGAAGTCTATTCATTAGCAAAAGAGCAGACTGTAACGATCTGCGTAATATATCAGTGGCAAATTCTAGGTAGCTGAAATTATCAGTGCACACCGGTAATTTAAATTAATTCCCTTTCCTTTCCGGATGCCTTCATGGTAACTTCTAACTCGCAGTCGGGAAGTCTGGAGCTCGAAACTTGGAGAAGGATACCGCTCATTTTTCACGTCTCCTGCATCGATAAACCTAATAAATCTACAAAGTATTAAACAAATTAATTTTAAATAAATGTAGTCAACATTTTTCTGAATTTTTTTAAGTTCTTTTATATATGAAACGTATATTTTTCACGTTGTTTGCGTTTTCTCAGTTGAGTACAATTTTCATGAATTGTTATCGGATTTTAACACAGGTCTGTGATATTTCAACCTTCAATTCAAAACTAGCCTGAATCTGACGCAATGAATCTTATCGAAATGTGATGAATCGTCTTCGAGGTGTGATTTTTTGTAATTTAGCTGAATCTATCTAAAACTAATTCGGGATGCAAAAATAATTACAGACGACTCTTTCGTACTCATAAATCTGTACATTAGAGGAAACACTGAGCAACTTAAAAACACAAGTTTGGAAGAAACAAGTTTTAAAATTCCACCTACCGTATTTACTACCTTTGCATCACTTTTCTTTTTGACATTGGACGTCCGGATTTCAGATTTTGTAGTGTATCACGCTGATATTATTTCTTGTGCCTTTAAAATCTTGATCTATTTTTTGTCTATAAATAAACTAATAATAATTCCTGCTATGTGAAGACTACAAGGGCATTTAAAAAGATTTTATTAGTCGTACCACTACCGTATTTACTACCTTTGCATCACTTTTCTTTTTGACATTTGACGTCCGGATTTCAGATTTTGTAGTGTATCACGCTGATATTATTTCTTGTGCCTTTAAAATCTTGATCTATTTTTTGTCTATAAATAAACTAATAATAATCCCTGCTATGTGAAGACTACAAGGGCATTTAAAAAGATTTTATTAGTCGTACCACTACCGTATTTACTACCTTTGCATCACTTTTCTTTTTGACATTTGACGTCCGGATTTCAGATTTTGTAGTGTATCACGCTGATATTATTTCTTGTGCCTTTAAAATCTTGATCTATTTTTTTTTTTTTTTTTGTCTATAAATAAACTAATATTAATTCCTGCTATGTGAAGACTACAAGGACATTTACAAAGATTTTATTAGTCGTTTCATTCATTTTCTCAAAACATTAATTTGAAAAAGACGGAAGGATTTGCAAAATACAACCATGTTTCGGCTTGACTGCGAACTGAAACCAATTACGTAAACCGCGTACAAGTACAAATATTACTTGTACAAATATTATTTTAAATTCAGAAAAATCATTGTGTAATCAACCAATTCATTTACAAAAACGTTCTCGTTCTTTAAATAATGCTTATCAACCTTAGAAATGTATTCATTATGTTATAAATAGTATTAAACAAATGTGATAAATTTGTAGCATATTTTATCCAAATACGAATCCCGTTTACAGGAAAGCACGTTCTTAACTTATGTCAAAGAATAAAAATTACAATAAAATTACTATAAAAATTAGATAACTGCATTATTTCATTTGTTCTGTACCATAATAAGAAATAGTGGGCAAAATATTAATATTTAAGCATTTTTCTTTTTCTTGTACGCCTCTTTGTTAACAAAACAGAAATTCTTTCACTTACGTTTCTATTTCGATGTCTAATTTTCTGAAAGAAACATATAATACTCAATGCCTTTTTTGGTTTATTAAATAAATCATATTTAAGATAAATAATCTATAACTTATAATTTTTCAATTCTTAACATTCAGTTATATTAGCAGAATAAAGTTCAGCCTCCTCCTTTCTTTTGTGTTTCTTATTTTGTTAATTCTTCCAAGGGAATAAACACTTTTGTTTCATTCAAAGGGTTACAAAAATTATCTAAAACAAAATCCAATCGTTAAACTTCAAAACCTAGGAAACGGAATTTCAGCGGGCATAAAGAAATTTTTGAAATAATACCTCTTGTAATTATATACTCATTAAACGTACACTCTAGCTCACCAAGACCAAACGTTAAGATCTCTGAACACTGGTACTTTGACTCGGTTTCAAATGCAGGCAAATGAGCTGGCTTCATGCAGTTTTCGTTTTTTCCCCGTGTATAATGAGAAAAACGACAAAATATTAGTTTCTTTTAAGAAATAATAGTTTTCCTTTTAAGCATTACGAAATGTTAGTTTCCTTTGAAAAATTTTTCCCGAAGACGTGTCTTTTTTTTAGAAAGATATCCGACATGTGCTTTGCTATAATCCAAATAACCTATGTTGTAAACAAAGCCTTATGATATGCATATTTGTAATTTTCAATAACATTGCTTCTAAAAGTCTTGCGCAAGATTATTAAAAGTTAAAGACATTTCTATCGAGACTTGGCAAAGTTTCTTTAAAACATTTGTTTAATATCCTTTTATAAACTTAATTAATAAAAGTGTCTTCATTAAAGTTTCATAGGCTGCTGAAATAAAATCATTGCATGTATATTTAAAGCATTTTTTTAAAAATTTTCCTTAAAGACGTTAATTTATACTTATGTCCAAAACGTCTTTTTAATTAATTGTTCAGTTACAATCTAGAGTTGTCTGGGTTCTTGCTGAATAATAGTCTTGAAAAATACTTAGAGGATAGTTGAGAGAAGTAGGAGCGAACAATGAAAGAATGAAGGTAATGATTAATTATTAGGTACCACAACTGAATTCCAGTGCCACTGTGAGATTTCTAATTTTCCTGAGCAAAAATCATCCAATCCTTCACTCTATTTTTAATATATATATATTAAAAATATAATTAATATAATTATCATAGTGAATTATATATATACAGAGTGATTCTAAATTGTTTTTAAAATTATCAGGGGTAATAGTACCCATCCAGACGTTCAGTAATTACCATAGAACATAGGGTCGCATTCCACTCTCAGAAGCAGAAAAGAGGAACATTAGAATTTCAATTTGAACATGCAACAGTGTTGGGAAAGCGAATGAACAAGACCAAAAGTT